AACATCAGGAATTAATAACAAACTAGTGATAGTAATCTACATATTTGTACAACATCAGGAATTAATAACAAACTAGTGATAACAATCTATATTTTTCTAAAACATCAGGATTTGATAACCAACTAGTGATAACAATCTACATCTTTCTTCAACATCAGGATTTAATAACTAACTAGTGATAGTAATCTACATCTTTGTACAACATCAGGAATTAATAACAAACTAGTGATAACAATCTATATTTTTCTACAACATCAGGATTTGATAACCAACTAGTGATAACAATCTACATCTTTCTTTAACATCAGGATTTAATAACTAACTAGTGATAGTAATCTACATCTTTCTAAAACATCAGGAATTGATAACCAATTAGTGATAAAAATCTAATCCTTCTTACAACATTAAGATTTTTTAACCTAAATCTGCTTTCTCAACTGGTATTAAAAACAAACAAACAAAAATCTGAGTAACAAACACAGACAGTACTACATAGAAATGCAAGTTTCGAACACTAGAATTGACGTAATGTACTTTTGACACATATATCGCAGTTTTATTACGTCATATGCAATAAGTTCTAATTTATTGAGACTTGTATAAAACTGTTACAAGTAATGTGTAACACCTTCGATGATAGATTTACGTTACAATTGAAAGTGACGACATCAGTCAGAATCTCTGGTACAAGATATAAGGAAACTCAGAGTCAATAAACCGTCGACATTTGCAAAGTGATACGTGAGTTTTCTTACTTCTTTAGTATCCTCAATACTTGCAAACTACACGCAAGCTTTCTCATTAATTTTAAGCTCCTAATATCATTTCCCCCGTGGTTCAACGTCATTCAGGGGATAGTATCTGATGCGTTCGAAAAAATAAAACATTTATAAAAAGTAGTTTTTAAATATTTCAAACTCATTAGTACAAGATTATCAGGAACGCTAAATATATATTTTGTATATTAGAATTTCTGTATGCCTTTGACAAGGGAATATGAATTTAATACTGAACGGATATTAAAATGTTGTTATAAGGAAGTTACTGAGCTCCAAAGCATGATATAGCTTAGGGATATACATGTTATCAAATGAAATGAAAAATGTTATGGCTAATTATTTTTTTCATTGATAAATACACATTTTACAACGTACATGTTTTTTGATTATTCAGACTCTCCTTTGACATCAAGGATTACATGTTAATTTAGTAAGGTTCACATCTGATCTTGTACTCATTGTTACAAACTTAAAAAAAAAGAAAAAAATAGTCTTGGATGTTATAACTAAACTTGAGCTTAGATACAGCTATAAACGTAAAGTAGAAATGATGGAATAATTTTAGTTATATAAAACAGTTATTACCTCTATTATTGTATGAATCACAACTGTGAATTTACGTGACGAAAATATTTTCTACTCTAATATAAAAGACGTCTACATTATCAGATCAGTATCTACTGTCTTTGTGGTCTGGATTGACTGAAGTATTTACAATGTACACTCACCGAGGCAAAAGCTGATACAGTAAGTCTTCGGCCTTTCTTTTTTCTTCCAGGTAATCTGCAGTCCGTTCTTCAACCAGCGTCTCTAGATTGTTGGCGTACTGTTCCATTCTTGACAACAAATTGTCCAGAATATTTCCGCTTTCGTTGTCTCTTGGTGAATAAAAGGAGACGTAGAGTAAAGAATCAATAGTCTTGCTACGAACCGATTAATAGAGTTGTCTCTGAACTTTACTTCTATTAGTAAAAATATCTTTGAACTCAAACAGAGCAAAATCAATTGTTATCACTATAGTTCACTGGAGTGTTGAAAGGTAAGACTAATTACAATTAACTATTATCATTAAGAATTACTATTCTCAACCAGCTATCTTAAAGATAAAATTCACCACAGTCGAGTGTTATTACTGAGAATGACCACACTATAAGATAAAACGTACTACAATTAAGAGCTATTAGTATTATCACTAAATTAAAACCCATTACTATTAAGTCTGGTTGTTATTATTAATACGCTTATTATTAATTTAAGATTCACCACAGTAAACAGAGATCTCTAAACTTTGCAGTCAGCTGAGATATAAGTACTGTCAACAAAACTATCACTACAATACTATCAAGAAGTTCACTAAAATATTTTATTTAACCGAGAAATCATCAAATTCAATGGATGGATTTTTCATTTAGAATTATTTAACTAAACAACCGCTGCTAAGCTGCAACGAATTTAATAGAAGTGTAAGCAAATCTCATTACGTTCCACACGATGTTCATTCTTCTTAATAACCTTTATCTAGGACAACAACAGCCTGCGATTTTTCCGAAGTATTTATAAAAATTGAAAAATGCATTGGTTGTGATCACAGTGAACAGGTAGATAGATACGTTTAGACATATTTACTGTCGACACTAAAATACACCCGATGATGACAAATGCTTGTCGAAACATTGCACATTTGTAACTTGTAATAGTTTCTTTCATTACCCATCTAAGCGATCTGTCACTAAGAGTAAATGAAAAATGCATAAATATTCTTAACCCTAACTACATTGAGTACCTACTAGTACTCAATATGTAATCATCAAATTTATCCTTAAGACTCAGTAGATTTGCCACCAACTTTTGCTACAAACAAATATTTACCACTATGATTCACTCTCTTATGAAAAACTGTTTATTAGATACACAAGTGTGAACTAGCCAAATTTTAGACTAACTCTTTTTTTTTCTATAAAGATATAAGTTAAGATAAAGCTAATAAAAATCATATCTCCAAACTGAGGAATAACATTTAGTGGAATGAGAGCTTTTATACCTATGCTACTACTGAAAAGGTAAAAAAAAAATACCAAGACTTCAAATGATGTGAGCTTAGTATTTGTATTTGAGCTTCCCCTGTGGAGAGTGAGATATTAACTAGATCGATCAAATTTCAGTTGAACAAACTGCTTAATATAGAATGCGCTCACCTCTAACGAAACGAATTAGATTAACTGCTGTTTACGAGGCATATGTATCATCCTTAAGCAACTAAAAATAATTTAATCAGTAAGATGATAAGTTACTTATTAAAAAGTAAAGTAAATTTGAAAATTACCGTTTCGCAACAATCCAAATATTCTCCAGAGTAAAGTAAACAAATAAAAAGTAATCTACAAACATACATACATGTAATTGACAAGATGTGCTAAAAAACAAGTAATAAACAACTCCATTATACTTCTATAGCTACGATACTAAGAAAACAATAACAGCTAAATCAGAAAAAAGACGCATGATAACCAACAAATACACTGATCATTACCTTCTTATTGCAATTAAACAAATTTAATAGCAATGCTAAACATCAAGTAATTTTTTTAAGCTACGAAGACTGTAACTGTTTAAACCTTTAATTAAAACTAATTTATACCTTGCTCGCTTACTTAACTTCAGGAATAAATAACATTGTATCAAATATAATGAATTTTAGCTGATTATTTAATCATGTAGATTCTCATTAACGATGTTAATTTTATTTACAGTTTCATAACGACGAATTTGAACAACAAATGTAATTTATTTTAGTCTCAAATTATCTAGTCCATTGGATTCCAAATACCATTGTAAGGCCTATAAAAAATATTTAATTCTTCCTACAAAACAATTTTGTTTGTTTGTTTTGAATTTTGCGCAAAGCTACACGAGGGCTAACTGCGCTAGCCGTCCCTAATTTAGCAGTGTAAGACTAGAGGGAAGGCAGCTAGTCATCACCATCCACCGCCAACTCTTGGGCTACTTTTTTACCAACGAATAGTGGGATCGACAGTCACATTATAACGCCCCCACGGCTAAAAGGGCGAGCATGTTTGGTAGGACGGGGATTCGAATCCGCGAGCCGGGCCTCCTACAAAACAAACCAAAGCATAAAGTACTTCATTAACGTTGAACAGAGTTGTAAACTTTTTGATTATAATAAACTTGATTAGGACGTCGCATATTGTAAATTAAACTTCCCAGTAAGAAAAAAAAAACACTTTTGAAATCTCACAGTTGATATTGTATATTATCTATTTATTGGAAAATGATTAATTTTCATTATTTTTTTGTATTGTAAGATAAAATATGTTAGGCTTAGGGTAATTATATTCGAGATAAAATATATTAGGGTTAGGGTAATTATATTCGAGATAAAATATGTTAGGCTTAGGGTAATTATATTCGAGATAAAATATGTTAGGCTGAGGGTAATTATATTCCTTAGATGAAGAGTGTGCTTTGTATAAAGCAACTCACCATTATACTTATTTTCAGTGACATAAAATAATGCTTTTCTTTGCTTAAGTTGCTGGTAATGATCAGTTTATGACATGTGACTTATTTATTTGTAATTATTAAGATGAATTTGTTTTAGCTTATTTTGTATTTTGAAGATACGCTGCTTGCATGGCTACTCTTAACCGAGCACTTTTATACAGCACTTTTATAACGGCCGAAAGTACATCGAGAGCTTGAATCTTCTCTTCTGCAGTCAGGTACCCTAAACACTGAACCATGCATGGTTTCTTTCATACTTATAATGAAACAACTTTAGGATTTAAACATTTAACTAAGAAATTCAGTAATTTGTTAATCTTTGTTAGCTTGACCCTTTTGACACATCAGTAATACATAAACGTAACTAACATGTAAAAAGATTCATTATTTGATACATGTATATATTTGGTTTAATATTCCACATCTGCCGAACTAAGCGAGGCAGAGCTGAAGATAAAAAGCAGGGCACAGACGTTCTTCGCATATGCAAATTAAGCCATACCAGTGTGGTAAGTATCCAATATCAATTTTTCGTCTTTCTGGGAACGCATCTCCTCCTAAACGAGTTATCTAATCCAGACTAAACTTGGCATGCTAGCGTAATAGTGCAAACGCAAGACAAATGTTTTTATTAAGCTTTCCCATATATTGGAAAATAAAAATATTTCATGAAATAACCCCTATATTGTTACTGCAGTAGCTATTGTAAATAGTTGAGTTTGCACAAAACTTACACCAGAACAAAATTCCACAAGTTAAGGCATTTTGGCTTGTTTCGCAAAATATACAGTTTTGTCTGTTTGTTTTTCTTGTACCAAAGCCGCAACGGGCCATCTGCTGTATCTACCGAGAGGAATCGAACCCCAGATTTGAGTGTTGTAAATCCGAAGATTTACCGCTGTTCCACCGGGGGACAAAATATACAGTGGTAAGATATCCAGCTATAATACAAAGAATAAAGATATTGCTGCTGTTTAAGTTCCCGCTCTTTTCTGATTCATACCATTTAACTTCCAGTTTATACTAGGGTTCGATTAAGTGCTTAAGCCTGGATTAGAAAAGTATTTCACAACTAAAATATCTTTTACGATATTTCTTACTTCTTCTACTGTCTGTACCAAATTCAGACAGTAGAAATCTTGACCACGTCTTTACTGTGAAATGGGCTGCTTTGAACAAGAAGTGACGCAACTGCTTTGCCATTCTTGCCAAGTTTCTCGACTCGGCTGCTATACCCCTTCACTTCCGTTCCACTTCCGCTGTCTTATAACAGTTCTCTTGTCGAATGGACACTACTGAAAATCCTCGCAGAGATTTTGCTAATTTTTAGCCAATTTGTGCGTGTTTTCCACGTTTTCAAGAGAACAAAATAGGAACGAGTGCAATCTCCTTAAAATAACCTGCAAAACTTTAAGGTAAGACATTTAAATTGCATTACAGGAGCATCAAAAAGAAAGCCCATTGTGGATTGAGAATTCACTTTTATTTGTAAATTTTCACCGGATTTGTCGGGCTTTCCCCAAGAGCAGAGCTGGGCATGCTGTTTGTCACTCAAAAAATTAGTCAAATTGCACATCTACGTAATTAATTACACAGGCCTGCGAATTTAATCTTCATAAAAGTTGTATTGGTTTTTTAATAACGGATTTTCCATAATTCAGCTACGTTGATTTAGAAAATAATATTCATGTTTTTCTATCAGTAAGGATTTTTTTAATAAAAAAACTATTACTTAGATCAAATTATTATTTCGTTTACCACAATGACCATTTTTAATACTATGTTTGTTAACAAATAATACAAATAAACTGAAGAAAAGGGAAGAACATTGATGTCAAATGAATATGCATCCTCATTCTTCCTGATTTTGTGTGTGAAATCTATGCCTTTTAGTCTCAAAACTACTTGTTGTGGCTTTTCTTTTATGTATTGCGTTATGACGTTTCGTGAAAAACCTGTACGCAATGGAGAAAAATGGATATCATTTTCGGAATCAGCGTACAAAAATTGCCGTAGAACATGTAAAAATTTCAAGACAATAAAACAATCGCAGGCCTATGTTATCAAGACAATAAAACCGTCGCAGGCCTGTGTTATCAAGACAATAAAACCGTCGCAGGCCTGTGTTATCAAGACAATAAAACCGTCGCAGACCTGTGTTATCAAGACAATAAAACCGTCGCAGACCTGTGTTATCAAGACAATAAAACAATCGCAGGCCTATGTTATCAAGACAATAAAACAATCGCAGGCCTATGTTATCAAGACAATAAAACCGTCGCAGGCCTGTGTCATCAAGACAATAAAACCGTCGCAGGCTTGTGTTATCAAGACAATAAAACCGTCGCAGGCCTGTGTAATCAAGACAATAAAACCGCCTGTGTTATCTATGTCAAAATTCCACATCCATAAAACTTTAAACGCTTTACCAATAAGTTTTAACTTTTCTGTAAATACCAAATGTACCTACTTATTTAATTTCCTTATAACAGACTTTAATGCCTGAAAATCAGGCCGTTCTGTTGGATCTTCTGCCCAACATCTTTGAATCATCTCTTCTATCTCCTTATTGCACACCTCTTCTTCCAAATAAGGGCGAAACGGTGGTTTCTGTCCATGTTTCACATTTTCAACGATTTCTGAAAATAATAGAATAATGCAGATATAAAACAAAGTATTCCTTTCTCCTGAAAACATAATCTTTATCAATAAAAATTGCATCTTTCTTCAGATTGACAGGAACACTGGATAAATTTTGCACGATGCAATTAACCCTAGAGAATAAAATGTATAAGAGCGTGGCTCACAAAAATATACCTACTTTTTAAGTCACGCAAAGAAACAAACTTTATGAAAGAAGAGAAATATAAAGTCTAAAATGAAATTTCAATGAATCTAATAATTGAGAAAGCCAGTTAGACTCTAATGCTCTGATGATATCTTTTCTTGATTGACAGTTCTATATTACGAAATAAAATATCTATCAGTCTAAATATAGCTAAACTTAACTATTTGACAGCATCAGTATTGAATGGAGTAGTAAAGGTAACTTAGAAATGACTGTTGATAATAATCACGTATAATAGCTACAAATATAATCACGTTAGCAATCTACTTAAATTATGCAATTCATTGACAACGAAGAAACTTCAAATAATCTAAACGTATTTCAATTAAAGAAAGTCGAAACCCAAAACCTATTCCAAAAATCGTAAACTTATTTCAAATATAATTGTGATGATAATGTACCTAGGATATTTTGGTAAAAATCAGATAATATATTTCTTGTTATAGCTATTTATCAATTGCATATTTCTGTCTTAAATATTTAGTAATATTTAAATATATCAATCTATCCATTGAACAAAGCTTGAAAAACATAAACTACTGATCCATTTATTACCTCTGTCACCGAGGGTTATGTTTTCACCCCTGTGTATATGTTTGTTTATGTGTTTGTCAGCCAGATTTCTCAAAAACGGCTGAATAGATTTGGACGAAAGTTGGTATACATTTGCACTATGACACATCTTAGAAGTGGTTAAGTTTTGGAGAGTCAAGGTCACGGAAATTCAAAAAAAACATCCCCGTCTGTTAACATGGGGACATATTTTTTTTTCCATTATTTTTGCTCTATAACTCAGTCAAAAATGATCGGATGTTGATTAAACATGGTGGACATATTTAAAATACTATTCATTATCCTGCCTTAAATGGTCCGTGTCCGTTGATAACAACGGACATAAGGACACATTTTTGTATTTTTTGAGAGCCGAATATGATCAACGCTGCGTATACGATCTACTGAGTGCCCTTTAGTTTTGTGATTGTTTTTACTATCTTAAAACACTAAAATGTGTACTAAGATTCTGTAAATCATCAGAAAGGCTTAAAAATAAATTTCGAATAATTAGTAAATTTTGACCCGTGAAATATTTAAAAATTACCTCTATAAAGCCACTTATAAATTTTCTACCGATTGGGAAATGGACGGGTCTGATTAAATCTGACTAATCTAATCAACACAATTCAAAGATAAAACTGTTTATTCGTAAGCCTATTTGATAAAGAAAGCAAAACTTACGACTGATTGAGATTACTCTCTAAAATTACGGTTGAATTTTATGAAATTAGTACACTTTACTTTACAAATTAGATTTAATAGGAATCATTATATACTATTGAGAAATGTAACAGCGCTAATACTGAAGTAATAGTATAACATGAACAACAACTAGTAATTGTTATATTTCAGGTTTCACTTGGTTATGTTTGGATGAAGAGATGATTTTCACAGACTTGTTGGTGAAACAAGTTGGCGATTTATTGAAGAAATACAGTCTGTTCAAAAATGAACTTGAAAAACACTGTTTACAGTCAACTCAACAACATTCTCGCGTTCCGTAATAACAACATTTCTTAAAGTCAACGCAACAACATTCTCACGTTCCGTAATATTAACCACTCACTCGAACAACATTTCTTAAAGTCAACACGTCAACATGCTCGCGTTCCGTAATATTATCCATTCAATCGAAAAAACATTTCTTAAAGTAACACGTCATCATGCTTGCGTTCCGTAATATTAATCACTCACTCGAACAACATTTCCTAAAGTCAACACGTCAACATGCTCGCGTTCCGTAATATTAACCACTCACTCGAACAACATTTCTTAAAGTCAACACGTCAACATGCTCGCGTTCCGTAATATTAACCACTCACTCGAAAAAACAGTTCTTAAAGTCAACACGTCAACATTCTCACTTTCCGTTTCCTTATATTTATTGAAAATAGAAAATCTAGGCGACCTACTTTCTACTTTCTACTTCGGTTGTCTATGAATTATTAGTGTGCTGACTATTAGTAAGCAGTTCGTTATACATAACATTAAGACTTCTACAAATGTCTTATGTGGGAGATTTCTCGATAATCTCGATTACATGGATTATGCTGGACTGGATTAACAACTAAAATCAAAGACTGCATCCATGTGACTATGTCCACACTAAAGGCGTAACACAGGAGTGTAAAACAAAGCAAACTGAGTACTTGTATATTAAACATGCAATAATTGAACGTGATATTTTCAAATAATACATATATTATCGCAGATGTGATTATAAAATAAAATGTATAACATTTTTGTTTTTCAGAGTTAATCATTATAAAAAAACGAATAAGGGAATTGTATACCAAAGACTGTTTTATTTATATCTATAGATTAAACAATCTGAACCATCAACAAGTTATTTTAAAAAGGTTTATGTACGGTGATTGGTCTAGTGATTACCACGTTTAGACTGTAAACAGTGGCTAGTGGTTTTTATAACCTTTGTATACATTTGTAATTTGGACTTGATTTCATTATAGCCATATTCTTTGGTTTGCCACACATGATTTATTTTTATTTTATTTTCTGTTTTGAAAAACGCAAAACAAATGCTAAAAAAAAGATAATTTAAATTACAGCTGCTAGACATCGATTTTATAACTAAATGTTATTTTTAAAATCTTGTTCTATAATGCTTATAAGTTGCCCTAGAAACGTTACACAGAAATACACCACGTTCTGTTGTTTCCAAGGGTTACTACTCGTCGTTAAAAGTTATGCTCCAATCTTCTAGTATAAAAATCTAACGCTTTAATATTTTGCGTCTATAAAATACTGAGATTTTATAGATTTACATTCTTAACAAAACCATTGATTTCTCAGTACATTGACCTAAACGTTTTTGAAAGAAGTTTTCTGATAGAAAAATATACATAATGAAAAGGAAGTCTTTCCTCGTTGTAAGAGAAATATATTGTCGTCTTCCAGCATTTTCTACGTTCGATATACTGCAATTCATAATCCAAGCGTTGGAGTTAGAAACCTCTGGATATGTCTGTTATATGTATATGGAATAAAATAAAATAACTTTAAAATCGCAACATTGTGTTTTTTGCGGTGATTTTATTTTATTGCATTAATCTTCCAAAGTTATGCGGATTCAGTTCTTCTGAAATAAAATATATGTATCAACTCAACGTTATTCAGAATCAGGGTGAGTTTTGAATTGAATTTCCTTGTTTTGTTGCTACAAATACTTAAATAAACATTTAAGAATATACAATTGCGCTTATAACTGAAGCTTAGGATTCGAGTGTGCTGCAGTATATATTTTCTGTAAAAAATTATTATATATTTTTTGAAAGGCATATACGAGTAACTTTTACTGTGAGTCATACGGGA